TCATGATCCAGTCCTCTCATGATCCAGTCCTCTCAGTATCATAAGCTGGGGACAAAGCCTTCAACACATCAAGTCTGTGGGGCCATAATATACTCAAACCATACCACCACCACAAACCTAAAACAAGACTCATTTGCCATCAGCTGAAGTATGAAATGTCCTCATCACGGTAAATGTGTGTGTGTCTGTGGTTAAGACTACACATTTCCAGGAGGGGAATGTCTAAACATGTATTTTCTCACCCCCTAGGTGTGAAGATGCCTTAAGAAAAAATAAGAGCTTAATTGGGCCAGATCAAAAGGAGTATCAGAGAGAACTGGAGAGAAACTATCACCGCCTTAAAGAGGCTCTGCAGCCTCTGATAAACAGAAAAATCCCTCAGCTGTACAAGGCGGCGCTGCCCGTCACCTGCCACAGGTATGCTCCGCTTCCTCCTCAGAGCTCTTTAGGAAGAGAAAAACTGATGGATTTGAAGTTGCACAGCCTTTTACTCTACATTTCAAATGCTGTGTCCCCAGAAACCTAACAAATCAACTAGTACATGAGCCCTTGCACTTGTCCCCGATCTGAATGTCAGCTTTCCCTGTGGAAGCCATGCTGACTGCAACAGTACTAAGTCTGCCTTCATACACCCACCCAAAGTCCTGTCCCAGCTTCTGGCACTTCTGTCAGAGAATTCACTAGTGTTTCATGAGCAAGGCCTTCATTTTCCTCAGCCAGAGCCATCAATATTCTACATAACCTTGCCACAGATTAAAGCAGGTGACCCGACTACCCAAGAGGCATCAGTACTTTTCTCTTTTTGGTAAGTCAGAAGGAAGGACTTGGAATTTTCTACAACTGAATCCTGGTTTCATGTGAGCAGTACTTGCCTCATGTTTAGTACAGGTACCCTGGGCGGGGAGGGGGGTATGGTGAAGATGCCATTGCAGATGAAGAGCCTGTGGCGATGCCTGGCATTCATCCCGTAGCACTTGCTCTGGAAACTGGACAAAAACTGCTAAAAGTAAACTGCCCTTTTTTCACATTTTTATATTGAATTTCTCTCTACCTGTTGGATTACTGTGGCACTGTTTTATCACCCTTTTCTTTGAAAAGGTATACTAATAAACCAATTAAGTTGTTTGATAACCATTGAGAAGCCACTGAATGAAACAAATTTACATATTCATTCAGAAAAACACTCACTGTATATTGCTGTCATCCCAGTATTAGAGAAGCTGAAGCAGGGTTGTGAGATTGAGGAGAGTCTGGGCCTCTTAGATAAATACTCTCTTAAAAAAGGAAAAAGGAAATCAGTGAAGGGCCTGCTTTATGTCACATCCTCCATCTGTGACATCTGCATCTGCCCCATGGACTACAGGAACTGAGGAAGTGCAAAGAACATTTTTCATTTGTGCCAAAGTGTATACTTTTCTTATCCTACACCTATGGGAAAGGTTCCTCTCAGAATTCCCAGTGGGAAAATAAGCACCTCCATTTTCAGTTTTCTCATCAGTCTTTTTGAAATCTCTAGCTACCTGCACTCATCATCATCAATCCCAGCAGGTCAGAGGCCCCAGGGGATGTGAAAGTGCAAGGAATCCAGTAATGAAGCAGTTGGCAAATTCTAATTCAGTTTCTTTCTCACTCTCCGGTCCTTCCTGTGCTAAGACTGTTAGAGCTGGAGGGCATGTCCCTAAACACAACATAGTTTCAGCTTCCTGTCATCTCCTTAGTCTAATCCTCTGGACTTAATATCAGCATGCAATTTTTGGTTCTCTGAGGAATTTGTAGTTTTTGTTGTTTGGTTTGGTGGTTTTGTTTGGAAGGTGGCAGTTTTTCTGGAGTGTTGCTATTTAAACCAGGTTGACCTTTGACCATTTCCCTGCATCTGACTCCCAGGAATACATTACCAAGCTCAGATCTAGGAAACCCTTTTCTTTTTTAAAAACCAAAATGTACTTTTTGAAACAGGATATCCTGTAACTCAGGTTGGCCTTGAATTCAATATGTAGGGGAGAATGACCTTGAATTTCTGATCCTCTTGCCTCCCTCCAAAGTACTTCAATTACAAAGATACCAGACCCAGATTATGTGGTGCTAGACTAGCCAGGGCTTGGGGCGTGTAGGCAAGCACTCTACAACTAAGTTACATCCCCAGTACCCCCAAGACTTTAAAAATGTGTGTGTGTGACTGCATGAACCTGTGCACCATGTGCAGGCAGATACCCTTGGAGGCTAGAGGGCATCTGATCTGGAACTGGAGTTACAGAAGGTTGTGTGAGCCACCTGTGGGTACTGGGAACCTAACCTGGCTCCCTCTACAAGAGCAGAAAGCATTAACCACTAAGCCATCTTTCCAGCTTAACAACCTCTTTTCTTGATGAATAGTATCCAGCTTTTAAAACTCTCCCCTGGAACTAAAAAAGCAATCTTTGAACTGCAAAGCTAAATGTCATTTTCTTGGTAACTGCTTTCACCTTTCCTAAACTCCCACGGTGCCTACTTAACTAACATGAGGAAGGATGAGCAAAAGAAACCAATTCATGAAGAAGGAAAATCTAGAGAGACATTTCATGAATAAACTCAAGTCTTTAGAACTCAGGAGATAAAAAATGTCTTAGGATTTTAATTTTGCTGAAAATATAAAACCTGGAATGTTGTTTTGATTGTCAAATGTGATCTGAGACCTTGACTTTGGTAGATTGTCAAATGTGATCTGAGACCTCTCCTATTGGTAGAAGGGACTTTCCCAGAGACTGGGTGAGATGTGCTCTTGTAAATGCTTGACTGTAGAAGCAGGCTGGAGAATTTAGGCCTTCTATTAAGCTAGGCTGCTATCACATACCTCTAATCTGTAGAGAAATCTAAACCAGAATATGATAGAGAATATAAGATGAGCATCTAACATTGAGGTATCTCTGGCAGGAAAAACAGAACAAAAACCCTTTAAAGGTTTATGAAAAAAATTGTGGTGCCTTCTAAAAATTGTTAATGATATTCTCTTCTTTTCCTCAGAGACTCCTTCAGCCGCATGAGCCTTCGAAAAATGGAACTCTAAAATATACACTTGTTCTATCCATTTGAAAAGAGCCATGTATTCCACATGGATGTGAGGTCTTCTGTTGAGACATAGGACTTGGATGTCATCTGGAAGCAATAGCACTGATTTGCTCACTGAAGAATGCTACCAGGTGCAGGCTGTTACATGTGAGCTCATGGCTGTGGTTTCTAACCTTCCGGTAACATGCTATCATCTTAAAAAAAAAAAAAAAAAAGTTAATGATTCAAAGGTACAGTACACATTTACAATTATTTATACCATAGCTAATGTTAAATTTATTTACTTTAAGTTCTTATTTTTTAATTTATATTACCATTTATAGATTCATTCATTTTGGAACCATTTTAAATGTAGTAATGCTTATTTTAAAGGTACTATTAAATATGTGAATGTTTACACTAATTTTAATGAGTGGGATTTTAGTTTTTTTTTTTCCTCTATTAAAATGGGGAAATAATTGTTCAAAAACTGGTTCTAAACTGGGGAAATAATTGTTCAAAAACTGGTTCTAAACTGGCATCAAAACTGCCCCAAATTAGTTAATGGTAACAGATACTACCCCACAAAAAGACCTGTTAAGAATTACCAGAAAGTATTTGATACAGCATTCCCATAAAATCAGGCTGTAGTGGCACACGCCTTTAATCTGAGCATTCAGGAGGCAGAGATAGTCCAGATTTCTGTGAGTTCCAGGCCAGCCTGGTCTACAGAGTGCATTCCAGGACAGCCAAGGCTACACAGAGAAACTGTTGCAAAAAACACAAGAACCAAAATGATTTCTATAAATGATTACATACCAAAATATCTAATACTGGTGACATGGTAATGATAGCAGCTTGATCTTTATGGGTCATTTTACTAGTATCAACTTCATGAATCAGCAATTTAAATTTATTTCTGTGCTTCAAATTCATGTATCAAATGTTTGACTGAACCATTAACTAGAAAGCTGCTCTAAGGCTATTTGATATCAGTGAAGTTAACACAGAGCTAGCGCTTCATTGGTTTTACTCTACCAATTAAGTGAGAAGTCACTTGGTTTTACAAAATGCATAAATTAGTTGCTATCACCAAAGTAATTATAATTTCAGTATGAAAAAGGTACACAGAGAAAATTAACACTTTACACACTTGGCACAACTACCCCAGTGAATATTCACATTTTCTGAATGTTTCAAACATAATACCCAACTACTGAGCGCTGGTGAGTCACTTGAAATGACATCCTTTCCCCTCTTTGGTGAGCTGTGGGATGGTAAAGGAGGTAACCAGTAGGGAGAAGACACTAAGTAAACCTGTCACTCCTCACTTAGTTACTTTAACTGTTTCACATCTCAGTGGGAGTATGAAGGGCTTTAATTTTTATGTAATTATGATTTAGTTATGAAATACCAGTTATTTTCTCATGAGTTAGAATGGAGACATCTTACTCATTTTGTTCTATTTCCTGACAATGTTTTCTAAAAACACCTTTCTTGCCTCATCTCTAATTGATAGCACAGTTGGTTATTTGAAGATTTACCAGTGATTCTAAACTAAAGGGAAGGAGACTCAGGATTTAATTTCCATCACACCATCTGTGGGAGAATGTTAATTGAATAAGCAGTCTTTCCTGTCAGAATGAGATGTTATTCCAAAAGCATTTATATACTTACTCATTTCTAAGATAGGCTTAAACGCCAATAGTGTCCCTTGTAGTCCTAAACCAAGTGACTTAGAATGACTTAAAACTCAGTCAAGCGTCTATGTATGTTGAACACATTATCTTAAATCTAAGACAACTTGGAAGAACTAGTTTGTCCTCTGAAAATATTTTTTACCTCTGCTTTCCACTGCCAGAAATTGAGTACTGAAGGTAATTATGCATGATTATTCTCTTATATGCACACATTTGCCTTTAAGAGAACTCTGATAAAAAGTTATGCATTTAAAAAAAAAAAATCACACATGTGTATACATGGTTGTTAAACAGTTTAAATTTTATTGACCTCCCAGTTTTTAAAAAAAAAAAAATTAAAGGTCACACCTCTAGGTCGATGTACTATATACAGATCGTGCAGAATGAGTATGAAGAGATACAAATGAGTCATGCCCAAAAGATTGACTAGAGTACAGAGTCATCTTCATAAATACATATAAAATCCTTATGAAGACAGAAGGGACTGCCAGGTTTTCTGAGACACTTTCCAAAGTTATTCAAGGCACAAAATATACACCACTGTGAATATACACACTCTAGGCTTTGTGCCTCTGATACAGCCCAAAGATTTGGCTCCATGACTATTATAAAACTAAATATACTGAATGAGATTCTGTTTCTCAGGTGAAAAAGCCAGACCTATAAACATCAAGTAGATAATTACTCCAAAATATGGAGAATACAAATACAAGCACTTTATTTTAAAAAGCAAACACAAAAGATCGTGTAAATCCAAAAGTGTTAACTGCTTCCAAGCTTCCATTTTGGATCATTTAGTACCTATACAAGTTTGTTCCCAGGAGCTTATTATGCATCACTCGTCTCTACTAAGGAAAATGATTCTAAAAATTAACATGGTTTTCAGTATTTAAAATCTCACTATTTATATAAAAGTCTAGAGAGACCAATAATATCCGATAGCTTCAAAAGATAAACTAAGATAAGACTCTTAGGTGTAATCAACTTTACCAATGTTTGTCCAGGTCTGTTTAATATATACACAAGGAAAATATACTCACTATAATTTCTTATAAAATAGCAAGTAGGGAGTAGATGTAGGAGATGTAGAAGGGGAAAGAGAATTCAAAAAGTCCTTCTCTTCTGTAACTTTTACTTCAGAGTCATCAAAGAGCAACCACTTCCCCTCATACTCCTTTAAGCTTTGCACTACATAGGAAATTTTGTTCTCAAATCCATTCATGTTAATGCCTGTTTGGTCACTGGATTCCTTGTTCCTGTCGGATTCGTGGGTCCCATTTGTATCATTAGTTTCAGAATTTCTATTTTCAGCCAACGCTGTCCCGGCAACCTTATCAGGATTAGACGCTTTGTTGTACAGTTCATAATCTGCTTTGCTCTTTTGTCCTCCAAGAAGTCCAACAGCTTCTACATTTTTTTT